GAGGCCAGATGTCTCAGCCATAAAACTTACTTATCAGGAGGCCAGATGTCTCAGCCATAAAACTTACTTATCAGGAGGCCAGATGTCTCAGCCATAAAACTTACTTATCAGGAGGCCAGATGTCTCAGCCATAAAACTTACTTATCAGGAGGCCAGATGTCTCAGCCATAAAACTTACTTATCAGGAGGCCAGATGTCTCAGCCATAAAACTTACTTATCAGGAGGCCAGATGTCTCAGCCATAAAACTTACTTATCAGGAGGCCAGATGTCTCAGCCATAAAACTTACTTATCAGGAGGCCAGATGTCTCAGCCATAAAACTTACTTATCAGGAGGCCAGATGTCTCAGCCATAAAACTTACTTATCAGGAGGCCAGATGTCTCAGCCATAAAACTTACTTATCAGGAGGCCAGATGTCTCAGCCATAAAACTTACTTATCAGGAGGCCAGATGTCTCAGCCATAAAACTTACTTATCAGGAGGCCAGATGTCTCAGCCATAAAACTTACTTATCAGGAGGCCAGATGTCTCAGCCATAAAACTTACTTATCAGGAGGCCAGATGTCTCAGCCATAAAACTTACTTATCAGGAGGCCAGATGTCTCAGCCATAAAACTTACTTATCAGGAGGCCAGATGTCTCAGCCATAAAACTTACTTATCAGGAGGCCAGATGTCTCAGCCATAAAACTTACTTATCAGGAGGCCAGATGTCTCAGCCATAAAACTTACTTATCAGGAGGCCAGATGTCTCAGCCATAAAACTTACTTATCAGGAGGCCAGATGTCTCAGCCATAAAACTTACTTATCAGGAGGCCAGATGTCTCAGCCATAAAACTTACTTATCAGGAGGCCAGATGTCTCAGCCATAAAACTTACTTATCAGGAGGCCAGATGTCTCAGCCATAAAACTTACTTATCAGGAGGCCAGATGTCTCAGCCATAAAACTTACTTATCAGGAGGCCAGATGTCTCAGCCATAAAACTTACTTATCAGGAGGCCAGATGTCTCAGCCATAAAACTTACTTATCAGGAGGCCAGATGTCTCAGCCATAAAACTTACTTATCAGGAGGCCAGATGTCTCAGCCATAAAACTTACTTATCAGGAGGCCAGATGTCTCAGCCATAAAACTTACTTATCAGGAGGCCAGATGTCTCAGCCATAAAACTTACTTATCAGGAGGCCAGATGTCTCAGCCATAAAACTTACTTATCAGGAGGCCAGATGTCTCAGCCATAAAACTTACTTATCAGGAGGCCAGATGTCTCAGCCATAAAACTTACTTATCAGGAGGCCAGATGTCTCAGCCATAAAACTTACTTATCAGGAGGCCAGATGTCTCAGCCATAAAACTTACTTATCAGGAGGCCAGATGTCTCAGCCATAAAACTTACTTATCAGGAGGCCAGATGTCTCAGCCATAAAACTTACTTATCAGGAGGCCAGATGTCTCAGCCATAAAACTTACTTATCAGGAGGCCAGATGTCTCAGCCATAAAACTTACTTATCAGGAGGCCAGATGTCTCAGCCATAAAACTTACTTATCAGGAGGCCAGATGTCTCAGCCATAAAACTTACTTATCAGGAGGCCAGATGTCTCAGCCATAAAACTTACTTATCAGGAGGCCAGATGTCTCAGCCATAAAACTTACTTATCAGGAGGCCAGATGTCTCAGCCATAAAACTTACTTATCAGGAGGCCAGATGTCTCAGCCATAAAACTTACTTATCAGGAGGCCAGATGTCTCAGCCATAAAACTTACTTATCAGGAGGCCAGATGTCTCAGCCATAAAACTTACTTATCAGGAGGCCAGATGTCTCAGCCATAAAACTTACTTATCAGGAGGCCAGATGTCTCAGCCATAAAACTTACTTATCAGGAGGCCAGATGTCTCAGCCATAAAACTTACTTATCAGGAGGCCAGATGTCTCAGCCATAAAACTTACTTATCAGGAGGCCAGATGTCTCAGCCATAAAACTTACTTATCAGGAGGCCAGATGTCTCAGCCATAAAACTTACTTATCAGGAGGCCAGATGTCCCATCCATAAAACTTACTTATCAGGAGGCCAGATGTCTCAGCCATAAAACTTACTTATCAGGGAGTTGGAATTCCTGACCGGTACGCGACCTGCCTGAGAGACTTCATGGTCCTGACTTTTATAATTTTTAATTTTTTTTTCCAGTAACTATCTTGAAAGTGACCTTTATTTAGCCTAGTCTTTGCCCAGTCATTTTTGAGGACTTGAGGACAAGACGCTGGTATAAATTCTGCCTCAGAGATGCAGGCAGACCTGTTCCTGCTCACTGTTGTGCCATTGCTATTCAGTTAGCAAGCATGACTGAGAAGACCAGTATTGTTACGGCCACAGCAGCCTCATAAGCACCATCATTCGTTTGACCCCTCTCAATCCTGTTTGCAGAGGTGGGAAGAGGGAGTAAATTTAACCCATTTTTGTTTCGCAAAATCGAAGAGGAAAAGTTCAGGTGAAAGATAAAATCTGTTACCAGGATTCTAGTGGATAAGCCAGGTTTATTCGAAGCAGGGACATGTGCTTAACATTTTTTCCCCATGAAATTGAAAGACCAAAATAGTAATTATCCAAGTGGAAATGCTTTTCTGTTTTGAGGCTGAAGGGATTACTTCAATGTAATTTTAATTGTCCAAATTTTAACAGTTCTTAGGATGAAGATTTTAAGGTAAGAAATGACTACAATGCTCTGTTACACTATGACACGTCACAGAACAACATTCAGCAACAGGTGGTTCTATTAAGTGTTCCCTGAACTAGCCTCTGGCTGTGATGAGCCCAGATTGTTTATAAGCTACTTGCTACTCATTTATCATAACTGACATTGAGGAGGGAGTGGAAAGAGTAGTGTGGGGAGGGGAAGGACATTTACAGCCTGACGGTCAGGTCTTGAGACGTGTTCACACTCTAATCCACATCAACAAGATGATTTGTGTATTCAGGGAGCAGTAGGTGGAGGAAGTCATCAGTGATCAGACACAACAGGCTACCAGTTTGAGAATGGAGCTTTCCTAACCCTGACTCATTTCAAAGATGAGACTATTGTCATGTCTTTGGATCACTCAATCTCATTGATTCTGTGAAGTAAAATCTACTGAACTCCCAGAAGCTTTCTTTAACAGTGCCAGACTGAGTGTCACAAAGCATGCTGCATAGAAGTGACAGCCCCAGAAAGGGGTTTATTAACTAAAATGTATTTTAAAACAATTATCAGGGCTGGAGAGATGGCTCAGCAGTTAAGAACACTGGTTGTTCTTGCAGAAAATCTGGGTTCGAATCCCAGAACCCATATGGCAACTAACAACTGTCTGTAACTCCAGTCCCAGGGGATCTGACAGCCTCTTCTGACCTTTGTGAGGCATTGCATGACACGGGTGCACTTACCTACATGCAGGCAATACACGCATACACATAATATAAAAATAATAAAAATTTTTTAAAAAGTTAAAAAAAATCACAAAATTGCTGCTCTCCATAAAAATTGAAAATAGTCCAATCAAGGTTGTGAAAATCTAATAAAATTTGTTATATGATATATTGTCTTTGAAAATATATCAAAACTAGTGAGCAATAAGTTTTCATTGTATCATGTTTTCTTCAACTCTTCAAACACTTTGGATTTATTTTTATTTTGTGTATGTGAGCGTTTTGTATGCATGTAAGTGCACCTGTATTATGCAATGCCCGCAGAGGTCAGAAGAGGGCAATCAGATCACCTGGAACTGTAGTTACAGGTGGTTGTTAGCCACCAGGTGGGTGCTGGGAACTGAACCTGGGCCTCTGCAACAGCAGACAGAGCTCTTACCTCCAGCCCCTTCAACTCTTAAAGTAAGGGGCTCTTGCAGCTCAGTGGTACAGTGCTTGTCTAGCATGTTTGAGGCCCTGGGTTCCATTCTCAGCACTGGAAAACAGAAAAAAAGCAATAAGGCATACTGAAGATTATCAAGTCTTGCATGGGAAAAACCCAGGATTCAAGTCTTCTGAATGAATTATCAAAACAAAACAGTCACCTATTAACAACCAAGTGAGGGAGGTAAAGGCAGAAACAATCTTTTTATCTTTTTTTCCAGACAGGGTCTCCCTATGTAGACCAGGCTGGCCTCAAACTTAGAGATCCCCTGTCTCTGCCTCCTGAGTACTGGGATTAAAGGCATGTGATCACCATGCCCCAGTTTCTTTTTATCTTTCACTACTGATTTACTAATGACCTTTGACATCTTAAGAATGTTTATCACACAGTCCCTCCATGAAACCATATAATCCCTATTAATATACTCACAGAACTCTAAATAGAATGAATATTGTAAACTATAGTTAAGTGATGCTCAATTTACTAAGTCTTCTGAACCCTGACAGTTTAGACAGGATCTATGTCCCTTATGATTTATTTATTTATTTATTTGGTCTTTTTGAGGCAGGGTCTCTCTGTAGTTCCAGCTGGCCTGGAATTCACTATGTAGACCAGGCTGGCCTCGAACTCACAGTGATCTGCCTGCCTCTGCCTCCCCGAGTGCTGGGATTAAAGGCGTGTGCCACCATGCCCGAGCGCCTTCTGATTTTTAATGATGATCCTAAGGTCTTTACTTACTAGTCTAATAAAATCATGGTTTTGTGGCAAAGTGCAAATACCCAGAGTTCTCTTTGGCTCTTGGTATTGATGAGAATCATGACTATGTGCTGGCTGCCTTTTTTTCTTCTTTTGGAGACAGGGACTTGATATATATCCCAGGCTGGACTGGAAGTCAAGATCTGCCTCAGCTTCCAAGTGCTGGGACTATATGTGCGTACCACCACACCCAGACCATTTGTGCTTTGAAACATTCAGTTCCTCCTTGCTCTTCCCCCACTGTCAGTTTGTTGTGTTTAGTGGATAAGCTCTTTAAACATACAATAAACACATGTAGGATTTAAAAAAAAAAACCAGTATGCCCAAATAGAAAATTACCACCCTGGCAGTAGTTAACAGTTTTCATAATTTAATGAAAAAGTATTGGTAAAAAGGTGACATTTGGAAAAAGATTGAGTTCATCTTCAAAAATTGAATTATATAAGACAAGGTGAAAAAATTAACAAAAGTTAAGAGGTAATACTTCAAACAACAAAATGTAGCAGATGCATTTTGGGGCAATTGGAATGTATACAATTGAAGGCTCATTTATTTATCCAGGAAAATCCTGTAAAAATATTACCATTATATTTCCCTGACTGGAATGATATTTCAGGCAATACTCTCCCAATGGCATTATATACGGAATTTGGCTGAAGCACTGTTTCCATCTTTGCTTTTCCTCCCACTTAGAATTCAAAGGCATGAAAGGATACAGGCAATCATACCAGCTTTTAACATAAGGAGTTTACAGCCCAGCTCCTTTATACTTTCATTACCACAAAAGTATCAAATTAACATGTGCCCTAGGAGTACTGAAAGAAGCACAGAAGCGGAGGTCATGAATAAGCAAAATTCTCTTCCTCATTTTTCAATTCAAACAAAATACAGGATACCTGCCACACATGTTCATAGGCACAAAAGAAACATTTGAAGATGCAGCCAAAAGAGAGGCAAAATACAGACATTTTCAGAAAAGGAGAAAACAAAAACAAAATGAAGCCTTTAATAAGGCTCCAAATTGGGGAGAGGCAAGCTGCTGAGTTTCCCAGCTCCAAGGTAATGGCTAGAGGGCTACTGCCTCCACTCACTGGCACCTACTGCAGCTGGCTACTTTCACCAGCACAAAACGTTAGAAGTTGAAAATGGCCCCTTTTGTCTGAAAATTCTCAGTATATGTCCCCAAACTAGAAGAAAGAGAATATTAATTTAAGGCTAAGAAGAAAAGGGAGCTGATAATTATAGTTTGCTTCACATTTATACAAACTACTACTTTCCCCCTTTTCTTAAATTGGAAGCAGACTTGTTTTATCCTCTGCTCCGAAATGTAATTATTCTCTTCCTCCAGAAATTAGTCAAGGCTGATCATTTGGTAACATGGTTTAAGCAACTTCTGAAAAATGGCTCCAACTCTAATGTTTGGGAAATTGCCTTGGATTCAAAATTGATACAAAGCTAAATTATATCCATGTGTTAAACACATGCTTTCAAATTCTGTCTGACAATAAAAATCTGTTTCAAAATTAAAGTAGGTAAGAATACTTAACCTCTGTGCATTACACTATATTTTAATTATACCTCAATAAAAATTTTATAAACATTAAAGCAGGTATACAAAAACTGTCAGCCAAACTTTAGTCAAACTTATCTGAAAACAACACAAAAAACCCTGACCTGGTAGAAATATCCCAGAAATGGTCACACTTTGGGAAAGGCTCTGGGAATCTTCACAAATGCCTCAATAATCAGAGCATTTTCCTCGGAAGTAGTACTTTTGTAAACACTATCCACAAGTTAGCTTGTTAGCTGGGTAATAAGAGTTATGAGTGCGTCCCCAACAAGCAGGTCTGGGAACAGGCACTGGACACTTAGGAGAATTGACTTTGTGTTATGATACTGTGAAAAAAAGTCAACCTTGCATGAAGCAAGGGAAAACAACAGTGAGTAACAGTATCTGAGAATGTAGCTCTCCTGGTCTCTCCCTTGAAAAGGGTTTACAGATACCAGTGGAGTTAGAAACTTTCTACAGACATGTGCTCTGCGAGTCACATGCTGTGGCTTCAAAAGATAAGTAGTTTTAGTGTCTGTCATGGTTTCTTGCAAATCCTTTAATAATACAAGGATTTCTTAACATGTAGAGTCTTCAGTGTGTTAATGTAAGCTGCCCTGAAGTACTTACTCACTGAGCAAATACTCTGGGCCCAACTGTTCCCAAGAGCCTGACAACCAGGCTCGAGACAATCTGCAATTCTTATAATGTGCTTATAAAAACTAGACCTGAAAAGTTTTCAGAAACTGCAAATCAGCTTACTGTAGAAAAATTCCATCCTTTTCCCTGCAATTCCTCCTAATATATACTAGAATCCTTTTGGTGTTTGGATTTCCCCCAGTATATGGGGCAAAGGCAAAGGCTGAGTTATCCTCAGGAATTTCTGATCACCTTTGCATTGAACTGTGGGAATGAGGATGTGTCTTGCTTTTACCATGGCATTCCCGTGCAGAATCACGGGGAGGATTATCTCTGTCAGAACTCTCTCTCCTTGCCCTGGCTGTTTCTTTACTCCCCTCCCCTTCTGCTTCTGAATCACTTAGCTCCAAATCAGGGCAATACCCATCAGCTTCCTGATATGGAGCTCTCCCTGTGGGCCGCCTGACAAACTGCCTACCCCACTGCTCCTTAGTGCTCACATTCTTAGTTGGTTTCACATAACATTGGAGGTCCTCAGTGGGCCTCACCCATGTATTGGTGGCTTCCTTAAAGGACCTGCTGAAGTGTTCCATGCTGGATTTTCTAGTGCTACCCTGACTGGGCAATTGGGAGCTAAACATGGACTCCTGGCCACAGAATATCTCACTTGAGTTATCTTTCTGGATGACATTCCCAGACCAGTTGCCCTCTAAGCCATTGGAGCTGGCAAGCCTGGAGTTAGGCTGATTCTTCCCATTACCAATAGAAGCCTGTCCATGGAGGGCAGCCTGTAGAGCCAAAGGCTTCCCCAATGACTGCCCATGATAGAACTCTGAAGATGGAGCTCTCCAACCAGGACTAGATCCCTTGGCTTCACTCTGAGAATGACTGTGGCTAGCCAGCAAACAGTTACTTTTGCTTTCTAGTGAATGTCTTGAATATGCTTTCACATTCAGGTCCAGTGGCTCTTGAGGCACCTGTAGGCTCCTTTTATTATGACCAGGGGAGCTGCTGCCTGGAGAAGAGGGTTGGTGTTCAGTCTCTGTGGAGCTGTCTTGGCAGTCTTCTGAGGTTGATTTGGGCATTTTCAACTTTAAGGTAATTCGTGGTGGTGGGTAAAACAATGAGTTCTCTAGTGCATTTGGCAAAGAAAGTCCTGAGATCAAAAAGAAAGATTTGTTTTAACAACTGACTTAAATATTAGCATATATGTGTAAAACCAAGTTCACAGATCTTTTATTCCAAATGTCTTTGATGTGTGTGCGTACCATGGTGGAGCAGCTGAAGTGAGCAGCAGGAGAGGAGAGGGCCCAGAGTACCTCAGAAACCACTCTCATGGCTCCCAACCCCTTCACTTTTGATCTCTCAGCCTATAAAATGATCACAACAACTAGTATGCTTTGTCTTGCACCCTCACCTCCATATCTTTCATTTCTTTGTGTGTATGTGTGGGAATAAGCACACATGTGTGCATGCTTGTGGAGGCCAGAGGTTGATGTTGGGTCAATGACTCTCATTTTTTAAAAATTTATTTATTATTTTTACTTTATGTGTATTAGTGAGTGTATTGCCTGCATGTGTGTAAGTGTACCCATGCTGTGTAATGCCTGAGAGGGTCAGAAGAAGGCGCTGGATTCCCTGGAGTTATAGACGGTTGTTAGCCGCCACATGGGTGCTGGGAATTGAACCCGGGTCCTCTGCAAGAGCAGTCAGTGCTCTTAACCACTGAGCCATCTCTCCAGTCCATCCCCTCTCCCCGCCTTTTTGAGCCACGGTCTCCCTGTAGCCCTAGCTGTCCTGGAACTCACTATGTAGACCAGGCCGGACTCAAACTCAGAGATCCACATGCCTCTGCCTCCTGAGTCCTGGGATTAAAGGCATGTGCCATCATGTCTGGCACTCTCATTGTTTTTAGACAGGGTTTCTTACTGAACCTGGGGCTCACTGATTGGCTAGACTAGCAAACCCCTGGGAACCCCCTGCCTCTACCTCACCAGAGCTGGACTTACAAGAGTGTGCCACTATACCCAGATTTTTATGTGAGTGCTAGGGTTTGAACTCAGGCCCTCATGCATATTATGTTGGCAAGCACTTAACTGTGTGAGCTTTCCCCCTAGACCCTTGCCTTTCATTTCTATGAAGAAAGTCACTAGTAGTGGTTTGGAATGGGTCCCTTGTGTATCTTGGGCTTTGGGCATGTACAAGTAATGCAAAGAACTGAAAATGTGCCTCAGACATAGACATTTCAGATCTTATCCCCGTCTCCTCTCTGGATATTCCTAAACAAGTCAAATAGAAATCTCAGAAACAGTACAGGTGGCAAAATGGTACATAGATATTTTAACCTGGTATTAGAAATGGTGGGTGATTCCTGGATATTTTATGTCTTCAATCTATAACAATATCTTGGCTGCAAATGAGTATTCTGGAGGTGTGGGGCAGGTTTAAAATTATTTATTACTACTGTGTCTTTGTGTGGGCACATGTGCCACAGCATGCATACAGAGATCAGATGACAACTTTATGGAATCAGTTCTCTCCTTCCATCTTTACATGGGATCTGAGGATTGAATTTAGGTCACCAGGGCTTCATAGCAGGTGGCTTTACTGCTAAGCCATCTTGCTGGTCCTGGTTTTATAGTGGGGAAGGTCAGTAGGAAAGAATCACAACATTCCTGCCTCTGGTCAGGTATAGGATTAGGCAGTAGAGTATTATTTACGTGGTAATGTCACCCTACAGTCACAGAAATAAAAAAAAAAAACCACTACCAGGCTGGAGAGATGGTTCAGTGACTAAAAGCACTGACTACTCTTGCAGAGGACCTGGGTTTGGTTCCCAGCACCCACATGGTGGCTAACAACCATCTGTAACTCCAGTTCTAGGGGGTCTGATGCCCTCTTTTGGCCTCTGTGGGCACTGCATCACATGGGTGCACTTACATACATGCAGGAAATACACTCATACATATAAAATAAAAATAATAAATATTAAAAAAACTACCAATTCCTTCTTATATATGTCCTTGGCCTTTGCCTATTATTATCTTAATACATACAGCTTCATAAAAATGGGATTATAAAACTGGGCGTGGTGGCACATGCCTTTAATCCCAGCACTCGGGAGGCAGAGGCAGGGGGATCTCTGTGAGTTCGAGGCCAGCCTGGTCTACATAGTGAGTTCCAGGATAGCTGGGGCTACAGGGAGACCCTGTCTCAAAAAGACCAAAAAAAAAAAGGGATTATAGACAGGATGGCTTCAGATATCCCAAAGGGCATTATGAATTCCCTAAGGATCCATGTTGTATACCTACAGCTCCATCTCTGCCAGGGCTTGCTACCTGATGCTGCAAGTCATATTCTTATAATCAGAAGTCATGTTGCTAGGGGTCAGTATCATTAGCACACAGGAGCTCTTCCCTGTTGTCCTTGATTCTTCTTGTTTTGCCAGCCCAGTAACCTTGTGGCTGAGCAGCCCTGCCACCTTCTGCTACACCACTCTGCTGTGACTCTACAGTGACAAATACCCAAGGAGACTTTGACACCTACCTGACATCTCATTTTTACATCTCTATCTTATTTTTTAATTCATTTTTATTTTATGTGTATGAGTGTTTTGCCTGACTATACATAAGTGTGCCCGTGTGGCACCGCAGGACAGAGGAGGGTGTTAAATCCACTGAAACTGGAATTGCTGACGGTTGTTAGCTACCATGTGGGTTCTGGGGACTGAACCTGGGTCTTCTGCAAGAACAGCTAGTGCTCTTAACCACTGAACCATCTCTCCAGCCCCCCTACATTTCTATCTTATGGCTGGTCTTTGGCAGGTGCTGATCCTGTACATTTTGCTCAGTGACCCTTGGTTGTTCAGGCACTCCCATCCACCTCTATATTCAAAGTACAGGGAAGTGTCACTCTATATGACTGTGATCAAGCTTCCATTTTGGGTACTGTAATTATGCTCACCTGTCTCTCTTACCAAGTAAGCAGTGCACCCTGCAGGCAGGGATCTGTTCTTGTTGACTGCTCTATCTTCTAGGTTATTTCTTAGTTCCTAGCCGGTTCTCAATAAACATTAGAAAATAAAAGAACTGTATTTCTTTTAACTTCTGGCTAAGGATCTGTTTTAATAGATAACTGGTAAGATAAATAACCGTGGAATTAAATGCTTTCCAGAAACTAGGATGTGGTACTATCCTACTAATTCTAAGTGAATTTGATAATTACAAAATGATTTTATGGCTGTAACTAATGGCATCTCAATGTCTGTCTGGGATCTAGATATCTGCCTTAGACTTACAACTCCTCAATCCTATCCTGAAATTTTTCTTTTCTTTTCTTTTCTTTCCAGTTATCTATTAAAACAGGTCTCCTTTTAGCCCACCTCTCTTTTCTTATTCCTTTCTCCCTCCCTCCATCCCTCCCTCCCTTCCCTCCTTCCTTTTTTTGGAGAGGGTGTTTCTACCCTGGAATTTCTTGCTTTGCAAGTTGACAGTGAAATAGGCTATTTTAATATTAGGATTAGGCTGAAGCAAATGAAATACTTAAAAAATTTTAAGTGACATGACTAACTTAAAACCAGATTGTTAAAATAGGATACAACCAGAGCCTGTACATTTGCTAGGACAATTTGGACATAAAGAAATTACCTTCTGCAATTTCTTGGTTGATAAGCTGGACTTGCAAACCGAAAATCTGTTCCTGCACTTTGGTGTGTGACAGTTTCAGCTTCTCTCGTCTGCTTATCATGTAGCATAGATTTCGGACCTGCAAATAAAGATGTTTGTCATGTTAAGCAAAATATTTAATTGAAATTATTCAGTTAAATTGAAAACAACTAAGGTCAGATGGGTGAGGCATGAAAACAGGACCAAGGCTTAGGACATTGCTGGTAATAATAGTAGGTGTTATATGTGTATGTCTTAAATTTTTTTTGTATGATGAGGTCTCTTTATGTAGTCCAGGTTGGCCTCTAATTCACATCAATCTTCCTGTCTCAGCCTCCAGAGTGCTGGGATTACAGGTGTGTACCATCATACCTAACTCTTTTTGAAAAAAGGCCACATTTATTAGTTTTCCTCTGAATTTTGGTAATAGAGCTAAGATAACAAGTCATTTATTCCCTTTTTTCTGGTTCTAGAAATTGAACCTAGGGCCTTTAGTCAAGTGTTGTACCACTGAATTAGAAATTCAGTCCTTTTTATACTTTTCATTTTTTGACACAGGGCCTCACACTAAGTTGCTCAGGATGCCTCAAACTCACTCTGTAGCCTAGGCAGGCCCTGAATTTGCCAATCCTCCTGTCTTAGCTTCCCAAGTAACTGGGATTACAGGCATGCACCACCAAACTTGACTTATTTCTAGAATTACATGCTTAATTCTAAAATTCCTTAGTGTAAACATGGCAACTAACTTTTCTTTGAATTTTTATAGCACTCAATTTACTGATGAAAACATCATGAGTTAAATTACCTGGAGGCTGCCAACTAGTGACCATTTTGACCCCCAGGGGGCATCTGTTAATTTGGAAACAATTTTAGTTGTCAGAACTGAGTGTGTGTGTAATGGGGTGATACTGGCATCTAGTGGGTAGAGACCAGCAATGCTTACATCCTATGACATCATTGTTTATGTACTAGCCTACCACCTACAATAAAGGGCAGCACCCCACAATAAATAACTATGCAAGCTAAAGAGGTCAATATTGCTGGGTTTGAGAATCCGTGAGACACTGCATTCCTGAACAAAGTACACGCTTCTTGCAGGCTGCAGTTTCAGAAATATGACAGTACAGTTCATGAGGCATTTTAGACTCAATGATGAATAAGAAGTAAACCAAATGAGAATTTATTTCAACATTAAAGTTCATAGAACAAATGCATGAGGCTTCTCCAATATCCTGTCAATACTTAAATAGAATCCAGTTATCTGGGACAACAGTGAAATGAGAAGATAAGCAAGAACATAGAGGCTCACATTATATAACAGGGTGGCCATTTTAAAACTGTAAGTGCTAGCTCCCATCTCCATATAGCCTGAGAGCTACACAGTAGTCAGAGCTGGTCAACTTACCCTTTCTAGGTCCTGCCGCAGGTGCATAAACATTCTCATGCGAGTATGAATGCTTTCCTCTTTTGGCTGTATCCAGCCATTTTCTTCATCTTCTTTTGGAGGAATTAATGGCTTATTGAAGTTGCTTTTGCGCTTTAGTTTCCAGTAGTTATAGATAAAGTCGACAGTTAATGTGGATAGCCCCAGTTCTGTGGCCACATCTTCCACCTGGACCAAGGAATAGAATTCTTCCTCTAGCTCACGAAGCTTCTGTGCCCGCAGGCTAGTTTTCTCATTTTTTGCCTGGCTCTGCTCAGCAGCTCTGTGGTGATGGTATTCAGCATCCCCCAGTTTTGGCTTGTTTTGGCTATGCTTGAGGCAAAATGACTTGAACTTTACTTCATCTCCCTCGTCTAGGATGGTCTTCATTTCTAGGCCGTGCTCAAAGGCACAGGTAACATGGAAGGCAGTGATGCAGCTTTTCACAGAGCACTGCAGGAGAAAGAATGTGTCAAGGCAGCAGGTGGGAAAATGGGAGAGAGAAAGTCCTATGTCTCTGGGCCCAAACTGAGCATTTATAGGAAAGCAATGGAAAGACAAGGAGAAGGCTTGACCATGACAAATGTTTTACAAGTAATCCAGGAAACCTGCTCCTATAGAAAACAGCAAAAAAACAGAGGCAAAATTGTTGAATTCCCATTTTAAGATTTCAGCTCAAGCATAGAGTCTTCAGTTTTTCTGAGAAGGCTTCTCTGACTTATATAAAGTTATATGGTCTCTTCTCTGGGTCCTCCACATCACCCTACATATGCTTCCACTGTAGTACTTTCACACTATCAGTCACACTATCAGTTATCAAAATTCCTGGTTCAGAGCTTAAAGATAGACATTATGTCATTAATTTTGGCAGGGACGAATTCTACCACTGAAACCACCCATGCACCACTGTATCATCAATTAGACAATGCCATAAACTACTGAATAAGCAGTTACTCAGAAAAATGCCTTTGAATAAATTAGAAAAGACATAGCCAATATTATTGCTAGGGCATCGATGGTTCTAAAAGTCACAAGGACTCCAATATCTAAGCAAAATAACTTTAAAAAATTATTTTTTATTTTATGTGTATAAGTGTTTTGCCTGCATGTATGTAGGTGCACCACATGCATGCAATGCCCATGAAAGCCAGAAGAGGGCAGTGGATTCCCTGGAACTAGAGTTATGGATAATTGTTAGCTGCCATGTGGGTGCTGAGAACTGAACTCAGCCAGTGCTCTTAACTGCTGAGTCATCTTCTAGCCCCTAACTTCTTGAAATTGTTCTTACAGAGCTGATCCATACATTACAGCAGGCAACTAGTTGGGTGAGGCTATATAAATTCAATAAAAATGGGGTCAGGATGTATCTCCCTGGTAGAGATACAAGTGCCTGGCATGTGTGAAACCCTAGGCTTCATATCCAAAACTGTAAAAAATTAAAATTACATACGATGATGTCCACTGAGATGGCTAAGCTGGGTAAGAGAGCCTGCCACCAAGCCTGACAACCCAAGTGCAATTCCCAGGACCTACATGGTAGAAAGATAGAACCAACTCCCGAGTGTTGTCTTCTTACATCTGATTGTGCACTGCTGCACACCTCCCACCACAAATAATAACCATAATGACTCACAAACTACTTCTTTTGGTGCAAGAGGGGCACTGTTATCCGGGGAGTAATCAACAGCTATCTAATTGGATTTAAAGCCCTCTCAATGGGAGTTAACTCATGGGTAGCACTGTAAGCACTATCAAATACACATGGCTGGAGAGCTACAGCACATGGGGGAGAACCTAATACTAGTTTTCTACTAAATGATTATTGTAATAAACTGACTCCTAACTTATTATTACACACATAATGTATCTCTCAATTCTCACCAATAAGTTTCCTTATGCAGCAGATGGTGATTAACACAGAGACCCACAGGTGACCAATGTGCAGAGAACATGAAGCTATAGAATGCTAAATTAAGGCTAGACTTGAACTTCCAATCCTCTTGCCTCCCCCACTTGTGTGTTGCCATTATAGGTATGCACTACCTTCTCTGTCATAACTCTAGACAAATAAAATTTCTTACCACATGCTAAATATGGAGCCTTATATTTACAGACAAGTATATTGCACACCACTCATCAAAGACGCTTCTTTTTGCAACAGATGGATGCTACTGCAGAATTCCACAACTGGTCAGACACAGAGAATTCCCAGTACTCAGTGACATCTCAGAGATGCCCAGACCTAGGTAACATATCTACAGTGAAACCTCTACACCTAAAGCTTATGGAAACAGTGGAACAGGGGGTAGAGAGAAAACTAGTGCAATCCCTCAACTGCTACCAGTGGAGCTTCCTTATATAACAGAGCATGATGCAAACAGAAGGCCACAACTGGCCAAATTTTAAAGAATAAGAGACAACAGAGTGTGTGTCCCTGGATAGGACTCTTATATTAAATTTCACCCATCCATGGCTCAGGGACCATTGAGGAAGAGGGGGCGGAAAGATTGTAAGAGCCAGGGCTAGTTCATGAACACAGGGAAGCAGAGGTTTTCAGGCTACTGGAAGCTTGCACATGTGAACTTGTGGCAATGGTGGCATCGAGCACAGGACCCATACTGGGTGAAGGAGAGTAGGCCTTACTTATGATCTTCAGATAGGCTGACTAGACTCCAGTGGATGAATTTTCACTGAAGGACATCTGAGTACAAATGCTGGACTGGATAGGACTTAACATGTATGGTGGAATACATAAGGTCTGGTGCGGGGACACAAATGGGGGAGGGGGTCTAAATTTGATTAAGAACTGTTGTATGAAGTGTACAAAACCTCAATAGAAAAATTAAAACAATATCACCATGAAAAAAAAAACACAACAACCCAACAACAACAAAACCAAAAGGGGAACTCTTATCAACTGCTAGTGGCAGTGCAAATTGGTACATCCACTATGGAAATCTGTAGTAGGAGGCCTCCAAAGATGGTGCGGACCCAGAGCCCTGGGATTCAGCGAGAATTCACTTTACTTCTTGGTCCACAAATAGCCCACCAAAAGGAGCCCACCTTGCTCGTGAGCCCAGTGACTGCTGACAGAGTGTGTGGCGCAGACCAATCAGAAAACGATATGCTGATTAAAGGGACTTGAGGGTGGAGAAAAGGGAAATATAAGGCCTGCCCCCTCTGCATTAAACGAGCCTGCAGCACCTTGCCTAGTGCTTGCTTCTACCCGACTCCCGGGGTCTGTGTGTCCTGACTCTGCGCCTCTTGCCCGCCCCCCCAATCCAGGTCAGGGTCTTCACAGCTGGCCTGAGGAGAACCTGCAACACCTGGCACCTGAACAGGGACTTGAACCCTGGACCCTCAACGGAAATTCCTCAAAAGCTAAAAACTGAGGACTGGAGAGATGGCTCAGAGGTTAAGAGCACTGGTTGCTCTTGTAGAGGACCTGGGTTTGGTCGGTTAACCACCGTTTGTTTGCAACGCCAGTTCCAGGGGATAACATTGTCTTCTGAACTCTGCAGGCACTGCAAAACATGGGTGCACTTACACACATGAAGGCAATACACTCATACACATAAAAAGTTAGACATTGATCTACCATATGATCCAGATGTACAACTCTTAGGCATATACCCCAAAGACTCTATACCCTACTACAGAAAGACCTGTTCACTCATGTTCATTGCTGCCATCTTCAGAATAGCTAGAAATTGGAAACAACCTTAGATGTCCATCAATTAATGAATGGATAATGAAAGTATGGTATATTTGCACAAGGGAATATAATGCAGCTGTTAAGAAAAATAAAACTATGAAATTTGCAGGTAAGTGGACAGAACTGGAAATAATCATCCTGAGTGAGGTAACCCAGAACATCATGTTCTCTCTTACATCTGGATGCTAGCTTTGAAATCTTAGATATGCATGTTTCAAATTGAAAATCCAGAGGTCAAGAAACTAATAAATGACCATGGGTTGGGTGGGGGGAAAAGGGGGAACTTCCTAGGAGGGGTGGTAGAACGCAGTGATATAAAGGGGGAAAGGGGAACATTAGAGTAGGAAGGATTAAATGAGGTGGGAAGTGGGAGTGCAGGGCAGAGGAGGGAGTATGGGGAAAGATAAGTAACACCGAAGGCCTTTAGAAAAAGCCATATGAAAACCTAGCACTACAGAAGCTTCTTAAAGTACATACATATACATTATAAAAAGAAAGTAGAGCCAGGTGTGGTAGTGCACGCCTTTAATCCCAGAACTCTGGAGGCAGAGGCAGGTGGATCATTTTGAGTTCAAAGCCAGCCTGGTCTACATAGTGAGTTCCAGGCAGCTGGGGCTACTGGGAGACCCTGTCTCAAAAAAAAAAAAAGATTAAAAGGAGTTATTTTTACTTCTACATTTTATCTATTGTAAATATTGCTAGAATAAACAGTGTAAAAAAACAAGAGTTACCCTATAATGGGACACTGCCCCTTCTAGACATCACAGACTAATTAAAAAAAAAACCCTCAAAGCCATATAGACCCTCAAGCCAATGCTGGCCATTGCCCCACCAGAACTTGATGGTAAGACCTATTGCTGAAGACATTCATTAGCCATTAAGCTGGTGCTAACTTCAGAGTCTCATCTCTACTGGCTAGCTTTCATAGTGCTGGAAGGTGCTGTGTATGCTACTGGAAGGAAAAAATAATCATCAACCTTACCTGTCTGTGAATCATATGAATATATAATCCTGTGAATTATAACAACAGCTGGCTTGGCAAGATATGTCCACCAGTGCAATAGTAGCATGAATATTATGGGAGTAACCAATCACTCTCTAATTGGATTTAAGGTCCACTTCATAGGATGGAGCCCATACCTGACAACAGGCCTGATAGCAGGCTTCAGAACCCAAGGCCAGACAGGGTACACAGCACACGGGGAGAACCTGATATTAGTTTTCAACTAAATGGTTACTGTTATAAACTGACTCCTAACTTATTGTTATACATATAAATTAATGTATCTCTCAATTCTCACCAGTAAGTTTCCTTATGCAGCAGATGGTGATTAACACAGAGACCCACAAATGGCCAATGTGCAGAGAACATGAAGCTATAGAATGCCAAGTTGAGGCTGGGCTTGAACTTAACAATCCTCTTGCGTCTCCCACTTGTGTACTGCCATTACAGGTATGCAATACCTTCACTAATTTTTTTTTGAGATAGGGTCTTATTATGTAGTCCTGACTGGCCCACAACTTGCTGTGTAGACGAGGTTGACCTTGAAGTCACAGAGTTTTATCTGCCTCTGCCTCTGCTGGAATTAAAGTCATGTACTACTGGGTCTGGAGAGCTGGCTCAGCGGTTAAGAGCATTGACTGCTCTCACAGAGGACCCAGGTTCGATTCCCAGCACCTACATGGTGGCTACGAACCCTCCTGAACTCCAGTTCCAGGGGAATCTGAAGCCCTCTTC